AAATATAGATTGATGACCATGGCCTGGAAACATATTAACCCTTTTCCTACCAATTCCTCTCACAATGCAAATGCTTCATTCGCCCACCTTAACTCGTCTCATCACCATCTTCTCCTTCTTGCTCCTTCTCCCTCCATCATTCAGTAAAGTGTTACGTTCTGCTTCTTTTGATTGCGGTATTCTACGAAATGAAAAGTATCCTTTTTGGAACAACAATACCCCAAAGGATTGCCGTCTGGTTGGATTCCAATTAAACTGCGCAGAACCATCTCCCATCATAGATATTGGCCAAGATGGAAAGTTCCGCCTATTGCAAGTAAACCAAATGAGTTATACAATGACACTTGGTCCCAAAGATCCCAGTGGATACATTTGTCCTAAGAATCCCCAGAACAGAACCCTCCTTCACCCTTGCTTGAAATTATCCAAATTCAACCAAAACATCAGACTGTTATATAACTGTGCCCCTGCCCAAGTCACACTGCCACCAGAAAACACCACTAATAGTGGCCAACCCAAATATAACAACATTGATCCCTTCGTCTTGAACGAATCAGTAGTTGGGAGAAATGATTATAGAGAGCTATTTACGCGTGGTGCTACTTTTGAAATTGAGGTTAATCAGACGGTGTATCAGAAGTTCCAAAACCTGCGATTGGTTGATGCTTTAAGCGGAGGATTTGGTGTGGTGTCCAACGTTAGTGGGGTTCTGCGTGGGCAATGTGTGGGTCTTGGTGGGATATGCAAATCCAATTCCAGTTCGTTTCAGAATTCATCATGCCAGCAGCCTCAAGGCAGCATGCATTATGCCAAAAAAAAAAAAAAAAAACTTAGTTTTCACTTTTCACTTTTCCTTGGTTCTGAAATTTGTAGCTTATTTTGTTTCAATGAGTGTTGTTAGTTTACACAAATGGTTAGTTAATTAATAGTTATTAATCCATTGAAAATTGAATTAGTTTCGCCTGCTTTGGTTAGTTTTTGCAATTATCATTTGAGTGTTGGAAAGTTTTCCTTAGCATGATATTGAACACCCTAGTTAATTTCAGTGATTGAGTTTTCATCTCATTGAAGTTTCCTGTCAAATTGGCCTAAAATGTGCTATGTAAGTAATTTACTTGTTCCTATTTAGCTACTTGTTCTCATTCTGGTTTCTGCTAAGGCTTATTAAACTTGCCTGCTGCCTATAGTGCTCATTAGACCAAATCTTTGATTTTAGATCAAGACAATCTATGTAATTTTCGAGTCCGATAAGAGGATCGACACAGTATTTTTGAAAATCTACAGTTTCTATCATGTTCTCACAAAAAACATTTCATACTACCAGTTGTTAGGCGCTACTCCACATCTGATATAATATGAGTCCAGCTCAGACAGTCTAAGAAAAATGATATGCTTAATAAATCTTTGCTTTTCTTTCAACTTTTGTTTTGTCTTTCTTCTTGATTTCAAACTACTGTAATAAGAAAACATGATGAACTTAAAGGCAACAAAACCAAGTCATACGAACCTATGGAATTAATTTTTTTGTCAATCCTCCTTTCAGTTGTTTCCTCTCCCCTACCCTACCCTGTATTGTGTTTCCTGATCTTAAGCAGCCAGATTTCCTTACATAACCAGTAAGTTGTGCTAGCAATGCTTTCAACCATTTTTTTGTTGTTTTCCATATATAAGCTTTGGAGAACATGAACTAATCTTGGAGTCATGACAGTCTTTTTGTTAATGCCCAAATATTGGGTGTGGATACTTACAAGTTACAGTGATTTCACTAATATGAGAACAAATTATTCTGAAATCCTGAAGTGAGATTCCTTTTGAATTGGATTGCACATAGTTGCAACAATTGTGAGAGCAGTGGTGGGCGCTGTGGATTTGATAATGATCCTTTCTTTTGTTTTTGCCCTTGTCAGCCTCATTCCAAAACCTATATTGACGGTAACTCTGTGGGAAAATAACTTTTCTCCAATTGTTGATTCAACTTGTTTTCTGTAGTTTTTTCTGCCTAATTAGTTCAATTTTAGCTTTGTCCAATTATGCATGTGTAGGTTATTTTATTTGGACCAACGTTATGATGTAGACTGCGGTGGTAATGGTGTGCACTACACAATAACCTTACTTTCAATTACCTTTCTTAGTTTTTCCAAAAAAAATTTAGTAATGTGAGTATTTGGGCCTTTGGCCAACTAATTATTAGTTTATAGTTTATACAATTTTTTTTTAATAAGGATTTATACAAATTGTTAATTGATATAGTTAATAAGTTTATTAAAATCCAAAAAGAGAAGGAAAGCTTACTCCCTATCCTGGCTTTTATGCAAATGGATATATTGAAAGGCAATCTATCTAATGAATGCTAGTTTTATTGCAGGAAAGAACTTTGTTGTTAGAAACAGAAACAGAATGCTGACTATAGGTAAACTCACATGGTTAATACTCTATTGACATAATTTGCTTCTAACTTTTTGCATATTTCTTGTAGCCGCAAGATAAACAATGCATTTTATTATCTTTAAAAAAAATGGGAAAATGAAAACCTTAGCACAGATGGAGTTAGTAATGATCCTTGTATGTGGATATTGATCACAAAGTTGTGGTAGTTATTAATACTCTAAAAGCATAATTTTGCTATATATATACTTGGGGAAAAGCATATGCACTTCGATTTCCTCTTGATAAGCTTAAGTTTTTGTTAACAGCTATTGGTACAGTAGGAGTTGGAGTATTGCTAGCTTTTGTCATTGCAATTGTTTTTAGGAAAGAGGCAATGGAAATTTTTAGGAAAAGGAAGGGAATTTTTAGTAAGGTAACCAAACGTGACCAAGCTGTTGAGGCATTCATTAGAAATTATGGAAGTTTAGCTCCCAAAAGATACAACTTCTCATATGTCAAGAAAATTATTAATTCATATAAAGAAAAACTAGGCAAAGGGGGCTACGGAGATGTGTACAAAGGGAAATTACCAGATGGTCGTCTTGTAGCTGTGAAGGTCCTCAATGCATCCAAGGAAAATGGTGATGAATTTATCAATGAAGTTGCAAGCATTAGTAGAACTTCCCATGTCAATATTGTTTTGCTTCTTGGATTTTGTTTAGAGGGTGAAAAAAGAGCATTGATCTATGAGTTTATGCCAAATGGATCTCTAGAAAAGTTCATCTTCAATGAAAGCACTTTGGAGGAAAGTAAGCACTTGGGATGGGAAAAATTGTATAGTATTGCAGTTGGAATAGCACGAGGGCTTGAGTACTTACACCGTGGATGCACCACAAGGATTTTACATTGGACATAAAGCCTCACAACATTCTTCTTGATGAAGAGTTTTGCCCAAAGATCTCTGATTTTGGGCTGTCCAAATTATGCACCAGAAAAGATAGTATTGTGTCAATGATGGAGCCTAGAGGGACGGCTGGGTATATAGCTCCAGAAGTCTTTAGTAGAAACTTTGGAGCTGTTTCACACAAATCTGACATCTATAGCTATGGAATGATGATTCTTGAAATGGTTGGAGGAAAGAAGAGCATTCAAATGGGGGTAAATGTTAGCAGTGAGTATTTTCCTGATTGGATTTACAAACATCTAGAACTGGTTGATGAACATGAATTGGAAGGTTTGAGGTCTAAAGCAGAAATTGATACTGAAAAGAAGATGATATTAGTGTGCCTCTGGTGCATTCAAACAAAACCTTCTGATAGGCCATCAATAAATAAGGTGATTGAGATGTTGGAAGGAAGTGTAGAAGCTTTGCCAATTCCACCCAAGCCTCTCCTTTCTTCTCCTCCAAGATCAACACTGCCAGTGCCAAATTCTGGTACAACATCACTGTCAGTGCCAGATTCTGGCACTACAGCAAGTTGTGATAGTGTTAATTAGTAGACTAATTTTTATGAATTTGGCTTTTATTTTGTCTCCATCAAGATGTATTTGAAATTGATAACATAACCAACCCAGATAGAATCTCTCTCTCACTCTTTTATTTATTTTTTATTCTTTTGGGGGTTACGGGGGATTCAGGTGAGGAGAGAAAAGAATTCAAACCCAATTGGTCACATAGGTGGATTATCCAATTAGTTTGGGCTTGGGTTCTATGATTCATGATGTGTTGTAGAGCATGGTACAGGTCACAATAGTAAGGGTCCTACGTTCGGTATAATTGAGCTGTGGGCCTTTGACATTTGGATTCCGTGACAACACCGTAATTATTCTTGACTGGGGTCCAGTGGCGGCTGGAGACAGTAATTGATGTGAGGTGGCCAATTTTTTCCAGTAAAATGAAGTTACGGGGAAGAAGATTTCACACAATCCAAGCAACCATTCCATTTGTTACGATAGAGACTTAATAATGACATTTATGAATTGCGGGACTTCTCTCTTTTTCTTTTTTTTTTGGTTAAAATCTAGCGTAAATTTGAAGACTTTGACATAAGAATAGACAGTTGAAGAATTCGAAACTTATCATTTGTGTCAATTCACAAGAATTAAGGAGTCTCAAAATTGAGGGAGTGGGTTTAATATATATTTAATTTAAAATTAATTAATAATAATTAGAGTATTTTTTTTATAGATATAAGATTTTTTTTATTCACTTCTTTATGTGACTCAAATGGTTATGTTTCTCCGTATGAAAAATAAGGTAAAACGTAATATATGATAATTAGGTCGACTTCTTGATTGGTACTTGAACAAAAACTAACTTACTAATCATATTTTTTACAGTAAAAAAAAAAAGATTTTCTTTTTTTATGTGTCCCTTCAAGTATAAATTTGTTATGAATATCAAATTTTATCACATTCAAATTTCGATATTATATGAAAATTATATATGTAAACTTCAATATAGAGTTTGTATTTAACATCAAATTAATTAATAATAAATAGAATAATTTTTTTGTATTTAATTCACATATTTTTTATTACATATTTAATGTAAAATTTTTTCACTCAACAAGAAAAAATTTATTCATCACTAATAAATATTTTACATTTTACAAATTTTTTAAGTCACAAATTAATGTATAATACTCAATGTTTTTTTCTTTTGCCATCACTTGATGTGTTTTAAGTTATAAAATTTATTTATAGTAGAATATGTATGTGTTTAAATAATATCTCTTTTAATGTAAACAATGAAAGTATCAATTTGAAAATGGGGCTAGCACTTGCAATATAGATTATAAAATACTTTTTTATTTAAAAATCTATCATCTTTTTTTTTTTTTATATTGGAATCCTTGTTTTTCAAAGTTGTTAAAATCATGTTCGTAACTAGGATTAAAAAATACTCATTTCGTTTATTTTTATTAGATTTTATTTAATTTTTGGATTCTTTAACATAAATTTTAAATAAAAATTTAACAATTTATATCAATAATAATTGAAAGCTATGCTACTAGTCATTTCATGTGATCTAAAATCCCTAGGGTTTTGGAGGCGACAGGTTTCTCCTTTGGGATTTCTCTCTAGCATAGGAGCCCCCTTTTTTCTTCTTTATTGTTTGTTTTTCTCCTCATGCTTGCCCTTCCCTTGTGTCTTTGTGTTTTCCCTCTCGGTTTTGACTCCTTTTCTTCAGATCTAAGGAGTGCTTTCACATCTGGGTTCAGATCTATGACTTGGAGTGTTGTGATGGCAGGGAACGGTTTTGGGGGGCTGTGGTGGAATAGAAGGGATGAGGTTTGGTAGTTCCATTAGTGATTTGGGGATGGCAGGTGGCGAAATTGAAACATTACTTAGTCTTGTTCACCTTACAGAGGTTGAAGATAGCTTTCTTCCCTTGCTATTGGTCTGGAAACTAGATGATTCCTGGTTGAAAGAGTTGCGGTTGGTGGGAAAGATTTTTTCCAAGAAGAGGATTCATGCAAGGGTGGCTGGTGTTAAGGGCACATCAATGAACCCTTTCCTTCTGCCTGCCGGTTAAGTGTCTCTCTGGATGGACAGAGCATTGTAGTGTCGGGAGACACTACATTGCCAAATCCACTTATCTCCTATGCTAGGTCGGGTGGTACAATAGATGTGATTGCCAGTAGCGTCAGAAAGCTCTAATGCATTCTTTCTACATAATTACATAGCTTTATTATATCCCTTTGACATATACTGATATGTAGAGATTTCCAGTTCTTAATTGTCTTATTTGTATAGAGCACTTAGCTCTATATATTAGTGTTATTGGTCCTTCCTAGCTTTTCTTTTTCCAGATTAGCCTATATGACAATGTATAGTTTGCATTGTAATTGTTTTTCAATTATTAATACAACTATACTTCTTTTCAAATAATAATAATAATAATAATTGAAAAAAAAATTTTACATGAAATTCTTGTTGAATATTTTTATTTGATAAAAAAATTGTAATTATCAATTATATAATATGTTAAATTTTAAATTGTAAGATGTAACTTGGGATAAAAAATTTCTTATCTCTTGAGGTCTAGATCTAATCATCCAAACTTGTTAACGAAGTTTCTTAATCACTTACCACTGAAAAAAACAAAAGAGAGTTAAAGAGAGAATAATTAATGGCATAAATGAGCATGTTATTTCTTCAGTTGCTCCAAAATAATTTTCTAGTGTTTTGATTTTTTCCTTAAATTAAGGATTTGAGAATAATAATTGTATTTATTTATATTATGTTACCCCTCAAAAAGAAGCAATAGATAAAGAAAGATTTTTTTTTTGTTAGATAATTAATTAAAGTGAATAGATAATTATATGATTAAAATAAGAAAAAAATTTTATCTATCTTTAAAAATAAAAAATTAATTTTAAAAAAATTTAAAATAAAAAATAACAATTATTTTAGAAATGAGAGAGTAATGGTTAATAGTAACCATAAATGACAATATACATATTCTATCTCAAGCAAATATTATCATTTGGAAAAAAAAAAAATCGTCCCTATTTTATATAGCATCTTCAATTTTTTTTTTTTTTTTTTTGTTGCCATCGCATTTTCATCGTCCTCATCTTCCTAATTATCACTAAAACTAAAAGTAGCACACTAAAAAGATAAACTAGACAAAAATTAAAAAAATTTAAGGATAAAAATAATAGAATTGAAGGATACAATTGAAATAAAAGTTTATAAACTAAATTTAGTTTACTTGTAAACTTAAGTAACCATTAATTAATCTTTTTCTCCGAAACCACGGGCGGTCCCCCCTTGTTCAAAGGCGGTTCCACCATTGGTGGGGTCTTCTCTGTATGACTAAATGAAAGATGAATTAGAAATTATCGGCGGAGCTCATGCTCTGGTACAGATATTCGTGATGATGATGTGTTTTCATGAATTTTTGCTGAATAAATTGTTTAATTTAATTTCTTTCCATTCTTTTATTTTATAAAAAATAAAATAATGACACAAGCAAACCGTCACGATAGGGTAATAAATAGTCAGATCAATTTACATAAGTAATGTGCAATAATGTTAGTTTTACAAAAAAATTTCAATTATTCATTTTAAAATTTGTGAGTAAATATTAAAATTTAATAATCATATTAATTTTCCAAATTTGAAAATGAGTAATGGAGAATTTGTGTAATACTTGTGCTAATTTTCTTACTGCACTTATGTAATTAGTAGAGTTTTACTAAATTAATATTTACTAATTTAAAATTTTTTATTAAAAAATTAAGGTTAGGAATTTAAACCTCTGATATATCATTTAGCATAAAGACCTCTTAGCTGCCTCCCCTTGCTATCTCTATCACCCTTATCCTTTCCGTTCTCTCTTGTTTCTTCTTTTCCCCTAATCTCCATCTCTATCCCCCTTGGTGGTAAGGGAAAAATAAAGGTGTGATTGTCTTTTTCTTTTTGGGGATTTTCTCTCTCAAATAGTTTTTGTCACTCTATTTTGAAGGGATGGTAATTTCACATGATCCTTGCCATGGAAGCAGGGTGATGAGGAATATTATTTCTCATGAAGCAAGGATGAGGAGCATTTTCTACTTGTGAAATTTTGTAGAAATTTTTTTTTTGTCCCACAAATCCTTGTAGGGATCCTTGTGAAAAATTAAAAAATAAAGAAAAAA